AAGTGACTTACCACAAGGTACCTTAGGCTACATACTTTGAGCTATTTAAGATTGATGATCAGGTAACAAACTTCTACAAATCTACGGGCACCGAAACATTATGCGGTTGGGCCATTGTGTGGTCAACCTTGAATGAGCGATCAATGTTTCGTTAAAGAGCTGGTCAAGGATGATCAGTGACGAAGCTTAAGGACGTGGCGTTTCTCCTTCTGATAAGAGATCTCTCTGTTAAAAAAACCTACCAATGTCTGTAAAACGCTCCCGTTACAAAATGAGGCAACCATCGTCACCTTATCGCCCATCACGACGAGACTGCACCTTGGCATGGTGTGATGACTTGCGTACCTCCATGACCCTGCAAGCTTTACAAGATGGCTCCAAAGCCGCAGATCCAATCCTACCTGCAAGCTCAATCGGTAGACCGCAAGACGGAGATCAGTCTCACAACGCTAGCTGCTTGTGCACCTCGTGGCTTCTCTTCATTATTCGCTCCAGCCCCTGGAGAGGTCACTTAAGTAAAAAAACACCAGGAGGGGAAGTTTATCGGTCAAAAAACCCTGCTAGCTGAACGCATGAGCGGGTTACCTGGGGCTCCTTCTGGACCGTTGGAGAAGTATTCGCACTTCATTGGACAGTTACCGCCCGTCCAAGCTGGGCAGCCCCCAGCCAACAAAGGGCTGTCTCGTTCACGTTCCGCTTGTCCCATTGGGTGCGTGAGGCTAAGGGTCGATGCCGAAAAACTGACCGTCAACCAACGCACCAGCGAACAAAACACTGAACCGAAATGCAAAGGCCTTGCGTGACAGGTCTTCAGAAGCTCCCACACGGGTGCTTTGCTTACGCCCCCACTGCCTTATGGGCCTGACTTCAGAATCGAAGGCTCCGGCTACGGTTCCCAAAGAAAAACCCACAAAATCCAGCTGCCTTGCGAGTCACACTTTTGAGTCAAAGGCTCCGGTTAGGGTTCCCAAAGAAAAACCCCATCTTCGGTGTGGGTAACCGCGACGTATGCCTAGCCCCAAAGTCTTAGAAACTCATTATTCTCAACTGCCCACTTCCTCTTTTCACTCCAAAACCTTAGGAGATGCATCCGGTTTGCGCCACCCACGACATATCACTCAGGGTTCAACTAATGAGGCCAACCACTCAGAGGCTATCAGATTTTTAAAACCAAAATCTTTTTTTCATTTAGCCGCATTTAATGTTCGCACACTACCAGATTGCTCAACAAGCTGCCTTAGCTAGAACCCTTGAAAACTTCCATTAAGATGTATGCTGTGTCTCCGAAACACGCATACAAGACCCTTCAATCATCTCCCTCTGTTCTCCAGATCCTACCTCATCCTCACGCTTCACCCTCCGTGTGTCAGGCGATTCGGCATCGAAACTCGCGCTGTTGCTGGTGTTGCGACTGTGCTGAGTGTCAAGGCCGAGCGTTCACTTTTCGACTAGATCCCGGTTAGTGGCCGACTTTGCGCTGTACGTCTGGATGGTTTAGTACGGATCAACAGCTACAGAACGAAGCGTTTCTTCTTCGTATCCGTGTATGCACCAACTGATTGCAGTATGCCAGAAGTGAAGGATGAATTTTACAAGGACCTCTCTCAAGTGCTCCAAAGTGCTCGGTCAACGGAAATAGTGGTAGTCGCTGGAGACTTCAGTACTCAAGTGGGATCCCTGGACAAATCAGAGGCTACTCGGTGGTTCACATGCAATCCCAGCTAACCGAACTGACAACGGAGAATGCCTACTCCAACTTTGTGCTGACCACGGACTGTTTCTGTCAAGCACGAAATTCTCGCACAAGAAATGGCACCGCCTTACATGGAGACTGCCAACTTCTTAACAGCGCTGGACTCAAATCGACCACATCGCCATCAGCCACTGCTGGCGAGGATCCATTGAAGATTGCAGCTTCTACTGGTCAACACTCGTGGACACGGACCTTGCTCTGCTACCAGAGAGATTGGCCCTGCGCCTAGTAAACTACCGCAGAAAAGCCACCGAAAACGGATGCGCACAATACACTGTAAACAATGGTTGTAAATCAGCCTTCGAAGCGAAACTATCCGATCGCCTCTCAGACCAACCACCAGTCGGAGGACTCACTGAACACAGGATGGCAATCAAGGTGATTCAAATGTCAATGAAAACAACGGCAGATGCTGGCACACAATCACACAAAAAACAACGGATCTTCCTGACCACGGTTGCCTTGTTGGACGCTCGCAAAGCCATTCCTTCAGATTCAAGATACGACAGCGCGCAAATCCCTTAAACGCTAGCTCATCAAGTCTGAGGAATGACCGCGAGAAGTGGTGGGTAGGGAAGTGTAGAGAGATAGAGAAGGCTGCGTCTATCGGTAACAGTTGCAATTTTTTCCGATTAATTAGAAGTACAGATCCAGGGAAAGCAGGCGTGAGGTAATTAAGCAGTCCGACGGCACACTGCTACATATTCAGCAACGCCGTCTAGATAGATGGGCAGAACACTTCAAGACAGTTCGGCTGGCCCTCGTCAGCACAATACCTTCTTATACTCGGTTCTACCGAGCAAATGCTGGTGGTTGACATCAGTCCTCCATCTGAAAATTACCCGAGAAATAAATTATCTCAAACGGCATAAGGCTTCCGGCCCCGACGGGCTGTCTCCATCGGTTTTCTGAAGGATGGTGGTTCAGTCTTGGTTTGGGAGTTAACGAAACTCCCGGGCTCAGTGTGGGAGAGGGAGCAGGTTCCAACTGAATGGTGTGAATCGGTGATCATACCGATTTACAAGAAAGGTGACAAGTCCTCTTTTGAAAATCATAGAAAAAATTAGGTTAATCAACATTGCCTCTAAACTTTTCGCCGGTATCATACTATCGATTGCTTGCCACATGGGAAGAGTGCACGCGTGAGAACCAGGTTGGTATTAGACCTGATCAGGGCTGTATCGACCACATCCTCACTCGTCAAATCCTAGAACACAGACACTCCTTTCGTAGACCCACCATTTCTATATTTCTGGATCTGAAAGCGGTTTTGAATCAGTCGACTGCTCTGAACTCTGGTGCTGCCTCGGTCTAAGGGGTGTGTCCAAGAAGTTTATTTCAATATTACAGTTCCTTTATACTAATAGTCGAAACCGAGTCCGAACTTACGGCACTTTTTCACCTGAGTTCACTACAGAAAGTGGTGTTCGACATGTTTGCTCTCTCTCCCGTTTTCCAATCGACTTCGTGATAGATTTCATTATTGAAAAATCCCTATCCTCGCGCGAGGATAAGGGTATCGAGTTACTTCCTGGTGGCAGACTGTCTGATCTAGAGTATGCAGACGACATCTTGCTGTTAAGTGAAGATGCAGTTAAGGCAAGCTTTTCTGGAGAGCTTGAATGCCAGTATAATCATGTTCGGTATGCGTTGTGCACATTCAAAGTGTAAAATATTGCTACAAGATTGGGTCGGTCCACTTACTTAGACTGACTGGGGAAGTAATAAAGGAGGTGGATAAGTTTTGTTACTTGTGCATGCATACAGAAGGCTCGGTTGGCATCTGCCAACTTGAGACATCTGTGGCGCGGCGGCGACATCCGGCTGTCTGTGAAGGGTCGAGTATATGCTGCAGCAGTTCGGCCAGTGCTGCTTTACGGTGCAGAAACTTGGCCATTATGGGAACAGGATAAAAATAGATGGTCGGTGTTTGAACACCGCTGTCTACGCAGCATTGCATGAGTCTGGTGGGGTAGACGGACGAGCAAGGCTGACGTTAGGCGTAGTTTTAGGTAATTGTGGTCGTCCACTGGAACAAGTAGTCGACCTTCATAGAATACGCTGGCTGGAACATGTGCTACGCATGTCACCAGATAACTTGCCACGGTGAGCGATGTTTACCGAGGCAGGTAGCTTTTGGAAAAAGATTAAGGGAGATTATACCAAAACCTGGCATGAGGGTTTGAAAACCCTGGGGAACCCGAGATCATCGTCACCGATGGTTAGAGACACTGAGCGATATGGCTGGATGTAGCAGATAGTAGAGCTCATGCAGCTACTCATTTTTCTCCTAACACCACTCTATATGAATTCTCCATCTTCCGCTTGAATTTGCTTTCAATATTCCAATCTTCATTCTGCTGTTTAATCCAAATGGGCAACCTAAAGACGACAACCAAAACCGGCGCACGAAAATGCATGGTTGATGGTTGTAAGAACTGAACTGAACTGAGCAGGTAGCTCTGGGTTGTGCAATAACTAAAAGTAGACCCCCCCCCAAAAAAAAAGGCCGAGGGGTACAAAGAATGGCACTTTTCACCAAAATCCCAAGATTCTTCATGTATGGATTGGTGAGACCGATTCATACACAAACAGGAGTCAATCACTTAACAGTAGGGTATGGTCACTGCAAATTATGGGGTGGCACATCATTTTTCCGAGAACTGAACAACAGCGTAATACAGCGAAATCAATGAAAGATCGACTTTATATTATATGGCACATGCGTCTGGGTCTAAACCGTACTAAGCAACCCACGACCGAGAGTGAGTAATATCGGGTAATAGTGCTGTAAGCAGTTCAAACAAGAGCAAGACAAGATTTTGTGGGAACGTTCGATAGTACTTCTAGAAGCGTTCCTACTAATGTCCGGTGCGCTAGACTGTTTCAGTGTATAGTAAGTCTTTGAGATTAGTATTAATCGCCTTTTAGAATGGAATTTTAAGTCAATACTTAGCATACAAGATGATAATGGTTTAGGACTGAAAGGTCAATTTTAAAATCTCGGACGGCAGAAAATTAGACTGATACGAAGTTCTGAAAAATCATGATTGTGATACTAAGGTGTTTATTCAAACAAAACGACTTACCCATTAGCCTTATCCATCATTTCAGAGCTGAGGGTATCGAAGAAAGATTTTGATTGATTGTAACACGTTGAATCCTCGCCTGCAGCGGAACCGCCACTTTCCTCACCCTTATTCGCATCTCCATCCATTGAAGAATTGGATTTCTAAAGAAAATTATATCAAGAAATACAGATCATTACCACAGAAATGCTTATCTTCTCCAGTTCTGCTGCTAATTCTGCGTTTGCTTTTTCGTAATCGTATTCGCTGGAAAATGTGGTGGGTTCGTTGGAAGTTGTAGGCACACCAGTATGCATGCGAGACCAACCATAGTTTCCTCCTTGACGAGGACCTCGTCGATGGTACCCACTTTGAGGATACCTAATGCCGCGCTGATTAGCACCCCACTGGTTACTGAATCCACCACGACGAGGCCGGTAGCTCTCTTGTTTTGGGCCAGAAATTTGAGGAAAATGCGTCGCGCCACCACGAAACATGCTGCCGGCAACATTAGCACTTCCACGTGAACTCGCGTCCCGATGGCCCCAATTCTGTGACGCATCGAAGTGGAGAAGCGACCCGAGAACAGTACGTTGACGACTTGGATCGTCTGAAGTGTTGCCAGACGTAAGTCTATTAAGGAAATCGAGCTTTCGCGAGTTCAACGCCCCGGCGTCACCGTCACTACGACCATCTCCAAAAGGTCTGGGACCGCGGATATCCGCCGTCTGCGTTGAATCCGGCTGGAGGGTTCCTATGGGCCCGGGTCTTGTTCCAACGGTAGGTGGGTGAAAGGACAACGGATTCGGTCGGTTAACCTGTTGATTGAGCCCATCCAATGAAACAGGTTGCGAGGTATTCGCCGATGCGTCCGAAGTGGAGGTTAACAGCGATAAACGATCGTGGTTACGGTTGTCTGAAAACAATTTCCAGAGGCAAAATGGATTGTGTTCATGAGCTCATTAAAAATTAACTGGAGGCATGCAAGTCGAAATAGTTGCCCTTATCAGTGCCCAAATCTCCATATCCCGACACCGTTGTTCACTACTGCTATCAGTAGGAGCTGAAATAATCGGGTGGTAGGACTGAATAGAAAAGGTGTTACTGTGTTGGTTGAGTAGTTCTACTGCTCATATAAAGGTAATAAAAATTAAATAAAGTCGAATCCTAAAACTTTTGTCAATGATGTCTAAGCTTATGGTTTGTGCAAACATGAACCCAGCGGTTTGGTCCACCGGTTTCGATGAACGGCTTTTCGGAAAGGTTGTCCGTCTTTCAGTAAAACGAAACTTCTGTGGCGCTGGAGGGACAGCCTATTTCTCAAGTGTGTATGGTAATTCCAAGGCTTAGATAATGAGGTATGAGTAATTTGATTTGTATCGGTTGCTTGAGCGTGAATCCTACTGATTAGTATTTTTCCATTTTTCTCCATTATACTTCCCTTTATTAAATACACAGTGACACAATTTCGAGCAAGGGCCCATCAAAGGGCTGCCATACAACACAGATAGGGAAAGTCAGACGGTGTTGGTGAGATTCTAACGTCCTCAGGGGTGATAATTTGGTGATGCTGCCGCCGGGATTCCGTCACCGAAAAGGAACGGCCGCGACACCCGGTATTCCCAGCCGGTCATCCACGCAAGTACTGCCCGGGCTCGAAGTTGCTTAACTCCTGCGATCAGAAGAAAACCGGTTTTTCCAACGAGGCGTAGTCGTGGTCTTGTAACCTTTGGATCTGGTGGAGAAAAGGCTAAAGCGACACGATTCCCTAAGGATTTACATCCCAAAATGTGAAGGTCTTTGTACATCCAAATAGTAAGAGAAATGTCATTTATGGTCACGGGGAAGGAAACCGGCAGTCGAATCCCGAACGAAGGGTCATAAAGGGCCCGAAGGATACTTCAGACAGGACATTAACTCATGTAACAAAGCTGTACACCAGAAGGGCGAAATCAGTAACTGTTTGAAATTTAGACCATTAATTAAAACGCCGCCTAACTAGCCACACCTTTCAGTTAACAGCGTAGGCTCTAGCATTCTTGTCTGGACGGTCACTTTACTTGCTGTAACTTTGCTTATCGCAAATAGGAATATTTTTGCTGGGTATCGCCATCCAATTAAGGGTAATCAGCGAATAAAGCAACTACCATACACTGCTACGCTGGTGAACATACAGGAGGGCGCCATTGCATGGCGTAACATGCCTACCTATAAATGTGCTGTACGTAACCGCATGCCCGAGTTAGATGGTGGTTACTCCACCCCAAGATAGATATCCTTAGAGGGAAAGTGGGACAGCGAAGCAGACGGTAAGAATGTAGTATAAACTGGAAAGCAGGTACTTTAGGCAATGGGCCAGCCAGGGGTTATGTTAACTCTGCCCGTGTCGACATTTATAGGTATCAATGGCCAGGCTCGTGGTCCCCAACCGTTAACTCATAACAGCTTGGCTCGTGCCTAGACCGCTGAGATGGTCTTTTCGGAATCATTCTAGTTAGAAACGCCTACTAAGGACCGAGAGAATTGGATCCATCATAAACGAAACGTCACGGTCGATTGCTGGAATTATCTGGTTTTACGACAGCAGTGTTGGAAGCTACAAACATCCCCCAACAACACAATCCGGACGCTCGATTGGCTGAATGCCACACCTCGCCCTGTTCGTTGTTATGAATCGAACAATAAAAAAGATCGAAATGGTGAGTTCAGGAGTACCCCAACTAAAGTTACTTCACATTCAGTTTGTACACTATTAGGCAACAATGCCTGATGCGAAATGAGCACCGAAAACAGTCACTTGTGGGGAAATTGGATCGAATCTAGTCGTGATTAATCTGAAATTTTATGAATTGAGGTGCTGATTGTAACGCATTGGAACCAAATTATAGACAAGCTAAGGACCTCAACCACGGAATGAACAACCTCGATTCGGGATAACTGAGCACCAACCTTGAGCCCGAGAATCAATTCAAGATCATAATACACATCAGCCATGCTACTTCAATAATCAAAAAGGACACGACCCGAACAGAAGTTAAATTGAAGACAGATTCTTACCTTCCCGTTTTGTTTCGTTTTGTTGTGCTGGGGTCGTCTGAGGAATACTTGACTGCACACGCAATGAGTTGTTGAAACACTACTTACCCCAGGAGCAGCACTAACGATGGCGGAATCTTCGTTCAAAAAAACAGAAGACTGAACAAGTCGAACATCTTCCAGGTCGCGACCACGAAAAACAACTTGGTTGTATTCTTCATTACGTGGAGCAACAGGGCGTTCACATGGACGATCCTCGGTGCCGAAGGACCAAACTGGAAAACGATAAGCACCGAACGTAACACCAACCTTTCGAAAGTGTAATTACTGGTTCATTGGGAGTGTCACAGTCTACTGAATGTAAAAATCCTTCATATCTTATCTGCGCTTTTGAGATTATACTGATACGACAGCCTATCAGGGAAATTTCCGACAAACTCATAGTTCCACGCAATTATGCAAAATGGTGAATGACCTTGACTGCTTGTTCAGTTCAGTTCAGTTCCAGGACGTTGACGGCGGTGTGCCAGTTAGTCCAGTTTCCTGCAGCGGTGGGCTCCAGGGATCCCTCGATGCTACGACAGATGGAAGAGGGAGATGACTCTTCTTCAATTTTGCGATCAAAAACTTTAGAAGAGTTGGGTGTTGACCTCCCACTCTCGCGCCACATTCCGGTCACGCCTAA